CTTTTCACCCTGACAGTCTAATGCAGTTTGCGACTTCCTTTCATAGACCCAACTACAGAGATCTCCTTCCCCTCCATCTCAATTTCTCCTCACATTTTGGGTATTTCTTGCTAACTGACCAAGACAGCTACCAAAACCAAACTCTAGCTGCAAAGTTCAGTCCCTGCACCCCATTCTTGCTGGTTTACCCACTCACTGTCTTTTAACCTGGCCATCCCACACCCATGCCACTGAGAACTACTGTTGCCTATCTCCCTCCCATTTTTGACCTTGACTGCCTGAAGCTCAACTAACCCGACTCTCCTCATACTTGATTCCACTTGTTTTCATGTAAGTTCATGACAGAAGAACTGACAGGCTGCAGCTGGGAGCAGAGAGTGCCTGCCTGTCTCCAGTGCCTCCAGAGCTAATAGTACTCCACCACAGAAGTTTCTCTGCACCTTCCACTAGGGGGTACCACCCCATAATTTTTGAAACAGGAAGTCTGCTGAACACAGTTCTTAATGAAAAATGAAGTCCAGGCAGAGTAACATTTTTTCAAACTTTTCTGAACACATGCTGTAATTTTATGAAGCAATTTAACTTGATTCCTTTTAAATAAAAGCTGGCCCATGGGCAGAGTAATAGGCAACAATCCCAAGCAGTATAAATGTATACAAGGGAACGCCAATTAAAACCCTGGCTCTATTACAGTAAGATAAATAGTCATGAATTAAATGAAATAAATGGGAAAACAGAGTACAGCCAGACAAGCAAAGTTATTTTTCCTTTAGTAAAAGAAATAGGCCTGCTAAATAAAAGCTGATTTCAAAGCAAAAGGTTTTGTGAAGCAAAAATAAAGGTAACTCAAGTTTAGGGCTCCACATATGGAGTAGACTTCTCTTTAGGGGATGAGGGAAGATCTGCAGCATTCAAAACACTTTCAAAAGTAAAGTGTTTGAGGCCTCCCTGGTGGATCAAGGGGTTAAAGCACTATGAAGCTATCTGCAGCCACCACAGTAGAGTAGGAGTTCAATCCCCAGCCAGGGAGCTGACCCATATGGAGCAGTAGACCTCGCCTGTCTCACCCACTGCTCCCCTCAGCAGTGTATTTCAGTAGATCTGCCTGTTCTGCTCCCCACTCTGTCTCTGGTAAATCCTCTCACCACCACCCCTACCCTGTGGTGATGATCCTACAGGGCATCAGAATTAAGCTAATTTTGATTTCCTGATCTCCCACTTACCTCTCTGAGATTCTTGCCAGATTCAGTCTGTTTCCTTTATGAATCTTAGTTCTATATCAGTTCAATGTCAGTAGTAACTACTGCCTAGATTTGTGGTATGAGTAAGATGAGATAATGTATATAAAAAGCCAAAGATGATTGGGCCACAATAGGTACTCAACCAGTACTATTTATTCAATGAGTCTTTGTAAAGAAAACCACTTTGGATGACTAGAAACAAAAATGTTGGCATGGAAACAAATATACTCAGAAAGATAGATAAACAATCAGAGACCAAGGTCACACAGTCATTTCCTGGTGAAGTCTAAAGTAGAACTTGGACTTCCTTAACACCAGGCAGCATTCTGTCTGTACCTTAGACTGCTTCTCCTAGTGTCTGATAGCTTACAAGCTTAACCTACATATATTCTGTGGTTAACAATCAGTTTACTTAGTGCAAGCAGCAAAATATACGTAGTTGTGTAATGTCAGAGATGTTAGCAGTGTGTATCTTTAAAGAACTTGACTGTTCAGCCTCTTTCCTACTTTTAAGAATTGATCCTAAGGAAATAAGCTAAAAGAAAAGGCACTATGCAAAAAGATATCTACTAACATTTTCTTTGGGATACTGAAAAATTAGACATAACCTACATGACAAATAGGAAACTAGTTAAATATGGTCTTCCCATGAAAAAATTATGGAAACTATAAAGAAACACAGAAAAATTTATTTTCTCCTTTCCCTCATTCCAAAGAGATGAAATTTAATAAGAAGAATGACAATAACTGTACTTCCACCAGCAATTAAAAATTAAATATGTATGTGGATAAAAGCCAAAAAACAAAATGGAGAAATGTGGCGATTTTTGGCATATTTGTATTTGGAGTGCCTTTGTCTTTCAATCTGAGTTCCCTTCATAATAAAAAAAAATGTATATGTATATGATAAAGAATTGCTTAGAAAAGAATGTGTTTCTTGGTTTTGAGAAGAGTTTACAGGATCTGAGTCTCTCTCCTGCATCATGAACGATCAAGTGAAAAACTTGTGGTCAGGACCCTTGTTAGACAAATCAACTCGGAGGGGCATTCTCTGTCTCTCAGGCCTTGGCTCCACAGGACTTAGCAACGTGAGGAAACATTGACATATCTGGGGGTCTTGGTACTGCATTAGCTCGAAAAATCTTAAACATCCCATCTCATACAGGGCTTTTCCCTCCCAGCTTTCGTGCCACTTGCTTATTAACATCCTTAGAATCACCATTGTACTGTCACTTCATTTTCTTCATATCCACCAACTTGCTTCCATTTTCTTTGCCATTTGCCCTCAATAACTTATCTACCTCTCTCCACAAGAATTCAAATTATCCTGAAGCTTTATCTTACAATTCAACTATCCTGAAGATGACCACCCACCAAATATATTCAACCAGTGGGGGTCTCCCAGTCCGGGGCAAGGCTTCCGAGGACAAAGCCACCAACACACCCTCACTGGCCTTTCCCTGCTCTTCCCTACATGTCACACTGGTCCTTCTCTTCTTCCTCACCCCCCACCCTGTGCCAATGATCATACCTTTTACTGCATAAAAATAAATTCTTACATGAAAACTTTCTCCTTTTGAACAAGCCCAAAGCCCTATAAGGAAGCCCTTCCTCTAGAACACATGCTCTTTTACATGATTACAACTTGGCTTTCTCCCCTGAACCCTTCCCACTCATTTCTGAGAAGAGTCAGCCTACCTTATTTGCCTCCACTTCCCCTTTTCATCACTGACTAAAGCTGACACTTCTCACCCCACCATTAGATTCTCTCCACAGAAGCCAACACAATGGAACCCTCAGCTATGCTTAACCCCGACCATGCTGTCTTTGTCATTTTTTTGCCTTTTGGGACTCTCTGGATTTATTTAAAAGAGCAAAATAAGCAGATGTCTTCAGGTGATATAGGGATGGGAGAGTTGGAAAGACTGAGTTCAGGAGTTTGTATTTGGAGAAAGGTGGCATGGCAGTTGTTAGACTTAAGATCTACTACATTAAGTTTTGAGAACTGAATTTCTCTCTCAAGTATAGTTTTGTGAACCTTCTATGAAGACAATAGATGACTTAATGGTATATGGAAATAGCCATTACAATAAAGAGAGCTATTTATGAATTTATCTTATTGGAAAAAAGTGCAATGGATACTGGATCATACTTTAGGGACTGTGGACAATGTTGGAATTTCCTCTCTTGGGTTATGATTAGAACTGATGAAAATAGAATTCAGATCAGGTGAGTCTCCCTCAGTATTCTCTAACAGCTTGGCTTCCAACCTGCGTTCATTCTATTAAATAAAATGGAATTAATTTTTCATTACTAAAATAATACTTTTAAATTTTAGTATTATATTTTTAAAACACAGTTTTGTACATGAGTCCATACTACCTATTGGCTATTTTTATTCTTTTAAACTCTTAATGTGTCTCCTATCACCCTGCAAATGCCCTAAGGTCAAGGGTCCTTTTTAGTCTAATTCTCTTCTGTCTCCTATGTTGCCTAGCATAGCATGAACACTTGGAAAATGTTTTTTAAAAAGTTATTTAGTTTAGCAAGCATTTTAACTTTTCAAATTTCAATAGAATTTGAATGATTCCTGAATGTAATATATATTCTAGGTGCAGAAGTGTAATATAGAAACTGTTTAAGTTAACTGAGTTTTATGAGCTAGAGCAGAAGCAGGAACACCTCAGTAACTAGTGAGGATTTAGCACAAAATTGAAATGGCCAGACACCCTCTTGTGTATGTTGTACCAACCTAGATAGAAAAGCCAGAATCTCAAGTAATGTTCAGCGCTAAATTGGAGTCGCTTTACAAGTCCTATAAGTCCCTGTAGTTCAGTTCCTTGCCCAAACATTCCCAACATCCTTGATGAGGGATAGTGTGTAGGAATTCTGGAACTTTGGGTCAGGCCTCTCTCCAGACAGGTAAAATTTCTGAACAGAAAAAGAAATCTCACAAAGGTCAGTGCCTTTTTTTTTTTTTTAACTTGTTTGGTTTCTCCATTAGCAAGAGGGATATTTAAAGGCACTGAATCCTTTAGAGTCCATGATTCTCCTTTCTGAGGGTTATTTTATTTCAAAGAAAATTTCCACTTTTCTTATGTAGACTGGATACCTGCAACTTTCTTTAAATAAAATATGCCAGATTTCGACTGCAGGCATTGACTTCAAAACAGACTGATTAGAGAAATTCCCCGTGCATTATAGGCTGTTTTAAACTTACAAAATTGAGTTAACCTACAAAGACAAGAGGGTCTTGAGCCCCCACTCCCATTGGTCGTTTCCCACCCACCCCGACAAAGAGTCAAAACCTGAAATCTTCACGTTTTCGAGACCCAGTGCAAGTCCTCTATGGGCCCCAGAGTGGAGGCTGCGCTCCCGTGATTTCCGGAAAAACTGGCCCTGTCCCTCTAGAGGGTAGTACCTGAGCAAGGTAAGAGCCACTCAAAGGCAGCGTAGGGCCGCCACTCACTGCGGGGAGGAGCTGGCACCTACTCACCCCTCCCGAGAAGAAACCTGAGTCAGGGTGCGCCTGGGGAGGCCAGGAACGCCCACTCGCTCACCTCCGAAGAGGCGGGGATCCGACTTCCATTACCCCCGGGGCGGGGCCGACCCGGATCACCTGGGCCTAGGCGGAACTGCCGGGTCTGGTCCCTGCGAGGCACAACCGTAAACTAAGAGTCACCTGTGAGAGGGCCGGAGGCGGGGCCACTGCCAAAGTTCACCTGAGCCTCTGGGAACCTGACCCGGCGTGGCCCCGGAATCGCCCAGCGCGGAGGGGTGGGCACCCCACGCTGGGCCCAGCCGAGTGACCCTCCGTCCATCGATCGGTGCGTGAGTCCCGGAGCTGCCGCCATGACCTGGAGCGCCACCGCGCGGGGCGCCCAGCAGCCCGACAACACCGCGTTCACGCAGCAGCGCCTCCCCGCCTGGCAGCCGCTGCTGTCGGCCGGAATCACGCTGCCGCTCTTTTTCTGCGTGGGCCTGGCCTTCATCGGCCTGGGCCTGGGCCTCTACTACTCCTCCAACGCTATCAAGGAGCTCGAGTATGACTACACCGGCTACCCCGGGACCAGCAACTGCACGGTGTGCGCCAAGGCCGGAGAGGGCCGCGCGCCGCCGCCCAAGTGCTCCTGTGCCTGGTACTTTACGCTGCCGGAACTCTTCCATGGCCCCGTGTATCTCTACTACGAGCTCACCAACTTTTACCAGAACAACCGGCGCTACGGCGTGTCGCGCGACAACGCCCAGCTGAGTGGGATGGTCAGCGCGTTGCGCCACCCGGTCAACGAGTGCGCCCCCTACCAGTTCAGCTCTGCCGGGCTGCCCATTGCGCCCTGCGGGGCCATCGCCAACAGCCTCTTCAATGACTCCTTCTCTCTGTGGCACCAGCGCTGGCCCGGCGGGCCCTACGTGGAGGTGCCACTGGACCGCACCGGCATCGCCTGGTGGACCGATTACCACGTCAAGTTCCACAACCCGCCCCTGGTGAACGGCAGCCTGGCGCTGGCCTTTCGCGGCACCGCGCCTCCGCCCAATTGGCACAAGCCGGTATACGAGCTCAGCCCCGACATCAACAACACCGGCTTCATCAACCAGGACTTTGTGGTGTGGATGCGCACCGCGGCGCTGCCCACGTTCCGCAAGCTGTACGCGCGCATCCGCCAGGGCAATTATTCGGCCGGGCTGCCGCGAGGGTCCTACCGGGTTGACATCGCCTACAACTACCCGGTGTGCTCCTTTGGTGGCCAGAAACGCATCATCTTCAGCAGCATCGCGTGGATGGGAGGCAAGAACCCTTTTCTGGGCATCGCCTACCTGGTTGTTGGCTCCCTCTGCATCCTTATGGGTTTTGTCATGCTGGTCGTCTACATTCGCTACCAGGACCAGAACGTCGAGGAGGAGGACGAGGAGTGATTGCCGCTTTCCTGCAACCTTCCTGCTGTCCAAATTCCAAGAGTATCCCTCGTTCCCTGGTGGTTGTGGATAAGGGGACCAGAGAAAGGAATTCTTACACTCAATCGGGGTATTTGCTTGGGTATTTGGACTGTAGAGGGAAACATCTTTATAAATTTTCCCCATCATCTCTTCATGACTTAACCAAGTGGACATATTAGGTTCCTAAAGGCCCTAGCATTTGAGAGCAGAAGGAGCGGTAGAGATTTAACCAACCCTTATCTGAAGAACAGGCTGAGACCTAAAGATACTAAAAATCGCTTTCGATTATGACTGTCAGTCATCGAACTTGAGAACTATTACCACTACAGTACAGCTATTTTCTTTTCTTTGGAGGGGAGGAAAGGGCTGAGCATGGCAGAAAGAAGTCCACAAGTAGCCTGAAGCTATATGGAGGGGTGGGGGAGGACATACTTGTTTAAAACAGACTAGCAGGCATCAGTCCCAGCCATTCGGACACAGAAAAAATGTCTGGATCGAGACCTTCAAGTTGCATTTAACCATCTGGAGACCCCACCGATATTCCCATCAATTTGTGAATCACAGCTCTGAACTAAGGAGCACCGTATTTTAGGCTATGAAAATATGATCAATATATGTATGTGGAGTAACTTTTATTTAGTATGCATGTTTGGTTGACAGCCCAACCGTTCTTCATGTTGCATGAAAGAATTCACTGATTTTTTTTTATTGTGTACTTGAGAGCAACCATATATTCTGTCATTTATACAGTATTTAGGCCACTGCTGTAAGACTTTAAATGAGACTGTAACCTCTAAGGTATTCTGATTAAATCAGTAAATATGGTTCCAGGCCCTATTCTCTGCATTTTTGAAAGAGAATAAAGGTTGTGTTTGTCTTACCTTTGTTATCATGTTTGCTTAATTCTTCTGAACTTTGATCTTAAAGGCACAAGCATTATCAGCCATTTTGCTCATCTGTTACTAACAAATTTATATTGCAGAGTAAGGCTCAGTTAAAATGAACTCAATCTTCCACTGTTAACTTCCTAAATCAGAATTGGAACTTACATTAACATCAACGTGTAGTCTGAATTAAACAGTCTTCACCATTGTTTGAATTTGGTAATATGAGGTGAATTTTAAAATTTGAATATTAAAAGTTATTAAAGAGTGTGATTATAACAGTCAGCAGTCTTCCCCTTTCCCATATTTTACTAGAAAAGCAAAAAAATGCAGTTATTTTTGGATACTTCGGCTTAAGAGTAGTATAAGCTTTAAAAGTTAAAATGTGAAAACATTTCCCTGTACAGTAGCATTTTGTCTGGATTCTAGCTGGGCTTGAATCTTTTTGATGTCCTATAAGTGCTTCTTAACTAAAGTTGTATCTTTTGGAATTGAGAAAGAGAGTAAACCTCAGTGGTCAGACTGAAAATGTGCTTTGGTCTACCTGATGAGATAAACCACAAACAAAAGAGAAAGTAATGAGGTCAGCAGGAATGTTACAAGACAGACTCTCCAGGTATCTCCACAACATATCAACTAAACAGTTCTCTAACTATGATCTTTAAAAATCAGCAGAATAAGAATCCGGGACTTCCTTTATAAGTCTTTCTGCCTTACTTTAAATCTGTCGCCTTCTTGTTGTCATTGACAATCTTGCTAATCTTAAATTCTCAAAAAGTGCTATTGCTAGACTTGCAATGTAATCAAGTTTGTGTGTGCTCTTGCATATAAGTCATCAGTTACTTTAATAATAGTGAAATTTCCTCTTCATTTTTATCAGGCATTTATCCACACCCAGTGTCATTCTCTGTAGCTAAACCATAGTTGACTGATTTTAAGTGAGAAATTTTTTAAAACTTTCAGCTTCAATTTTTCCCCTGTGAGAATTTCACCTCATTCTCTTCCTATGAAAATAGTAGCTTTTAAAATGCCATTAAGATGTTTGTGAATCTGACGGAAACACATTAAGATCCAAAGAGTTCTTACATGAGAGCAGTACTTTGTATAAGTAATCTGCTAAAACTGTTGACTATATATATATATATATATATATATATAGCCATAATTACTCTGATTAAGACTAACAATGTGTATTCACGGGAAAAATACTTCCCCACTGGCTTGGGACCAGGCATCAAGGTTGTCACTTCAATGCTCTTCATATAAATGAGGTTACTGTTGCATTCCTTTATTTCACTCATGGACAAGCATCTCACCACAGACAGAAAAATCCTGAGGTCATGAAACCAAGATAGATATATGCGAGTGTAGAGGGAGGAGGAGGAAAATAAAAAAGAAAGGGGCTTGGAACCTGGGCCACCAAGATGCCAGAAGGCAGGGAAAAAGCTCTGAGAGCCCGCCCAGGGCCAAGCACACCCCAACACTCTGAGGACAAGGGCTTTGAGAAACCCAGTGAGCGGATGGTGGCTCACCTCCTTCTGAACCCCTCGCTTGTCTTTTTGATCAATTTGAGTGTGATTTATCTCTTTCCTGAGAAGCAAAAGGTATTACTGTCAAGACTTTTTGCTAAAAGTCTTGGCTTCCACATTGAGCTCTTAACTTAGTTCTCATTTAAGTGGCTGAAACCTTACATTACCGATGAAAACTGTAAATGATGTATCATTAATAACGATACTTTGTTCTTCTAAAAGGCCTTTGTTCTGAAAGTCCAAGGTGCTCACCACTCTGTGGTCTCATTAATCTTATCCATCAAAATGCTTGTGCTTTTAGAAAGTCCTCTAGACAGAAAAAGCAGAAATATTTTCCTTTCTATTTTGCTCAGTTTTGTTCAGAGCTGTCTAGAATAAAAGCATAGTCACCATGAACATGGATGGCATAATCAGTTTCAAATGAAGACTTGGTTAATTCTCATTATGATTTTAGTAAGTAAAAGACATTTCCCAATTTTGATAGACTCCGAAGTGGGAGATACAGTGCTTACTATTCATAACATGAAACAGAAGATAAAAGTCTTTTAATTGTTTCTTCCTCTTTCTCTATCTTTTTTCCTCTGGGCTTTAGGGTTAAGACTTATCTGTTACATAAACATAATTTACAAATAGCTGAATATACTTTGCAAATTCTACTTAGAGGTGGTAAATTGGTATATAAAATCACATTCATGGTTCTTTTAAAACAGCCATGAACATTATATATAAAACTGGCATCATCTTTATCTCCAACCCTAACTTCTCTCCAAGCTCACATCACCTCTTAGACACACCTCAGTGTGCTGCAAGTAGACACAGCTTGGCCTCCTCTCCAAATCCATTCTTCTGTTAGTCCCAGATGCTGAAAATCACTCCTCCATCGCTCTCTGTCATCCACACCGAAACATCTGAACAGCCTCCTTGAATCCCCAGCTTTTGGTCCACATCCAAATGGCCCTCAGATCCTATTGCTTCTCTATCCCAAATGCACTTTTAATCAGGTGTCTCCTCATCATTACTCTCACCCAGGAGGTTGTTATTCTCCTCTGGAAGGTGGAGGAGACTCCGGAGTTTCAATTCATTCTCTAAATTCCTCTTGGAAAGAGCTAGCCAAAACATGAACCTCATCACATGACCCCTCAACTTAAAATCTCTCCTGCCTATACACAGCCTGCAGGAAGAGTCTATATTCCACACAGGGCATTTAAGACCTTCATGGTTGACTTATGCTAAATTTTCATCCCCTTTCCTTCCAAGGCCCCACCAAATCCAGCCATATTGAATGCTTTGAAGGAGACTGAACCCAACATGTTACACGTTGGCACATGCTGGTTCTGCTCCTGACCACCAGAGCCTCCATCTGTCCTTCAGACCCAGATCTGTGTTTGTACCATCCCTCCTCTGTGAGCTCCTCCCCACGCCCTTTGTGCTTATGTCACTCTGCCCTCAGCCTGACTGGCCTTTGATCTCATCTCATTTCTTCCCCAGAGCACTACCTGTGCTACCTAGAAATGGCTTATTTGCTTATCTTTCTCCACATCCAGACTGTTCTTTGAGGGCTGAACACCTTTATTCTCATTCACCTTGAGGGTTGCCAGTGTCAAGCTGAGTGACCAGCACAAGATGGGTCCCCTAACATGTGTTGACCAACTATGAGGAAGCCAGTGATTCCATTATTTACTACCACTGCGCATATTATTCCCGACAAGACATTTGAATGCATAGGAACAATTGAGGAAACAAACAGGAAGCAGAGATGGCCACCTAACCATCTGAAAATCTTAAAACAGAAAGCGTGGTGGATACAAATCTCTTCTGTAGAACACAGAAACACTAAACCCAAGGTCCCATTTGGATAACTGAAATGTACAATCAGGTTTTCCTCCATAAACTGATTTGCAGAAATGAGTAGCAGATGGGGTACATTAGCCCGCTGATAGGAGGACAGTTACTTTCTGCTCAAAGGTAATCAGTGCCTTTCCTGTTGAACTGCAGTTCATAGAATGTTCGCATTTACTTCCTATAGGATCCCACAATAAAACATAAATGCATATTGCTTTCCCCTGCCATGCAATTACTCCAAAAGCCATTTAAACAAAAATAGTATTTGTGGAGAAATATCCAGAAAGGAAAGCAAAATTAAATGGAATCATAGTTGTCCCATTTGCAGACTGGTGCTTGGTTTATAACATTTGGCACATCTTGATATCTACATAATAGTAGTTTTAAAACCATAAATAATATTTTACAGAGGTCACACCATAGTTATTTAAGTTCAGGGGTTTATTTCCCTGAGCACTAAGTAGCTATGAATGAATTATGTTTAGTCTGATCTGCCACAGAAGGGCCATAAACCTCCAAGTCATAGCAAACAGTGGAATATTACTTCAATACGTCAGGAAAGTTGTACATGTAAAAGAATAATGCATGATAAGGGAGAGGGATTTTTATTTTTTTAAAAGTAATATATGTTACCAGGCAGGAGCTATAAAATGTTGTTATGTTAAACTTTCCTCTGATTCTGGAAAACAAGTTAAGTGACTGCTTTGCACTGTGTACTCTAAGGCAGCGAGGCTGGTTACGGGACCAGAAAAGAGCCTGGAAAGGCGAGTCTGGCCCTGAATCAGGACCAGTGTTTCCTCCTCAGCTCTCTACCCCTCAAAAAGATGAAAACAAGGAAAAACTGCAAGATCACAAGAGGTAGTTTCGCAAACTTCTCTTTCCTGCCAGCATTCTTTCCCAGTGACTCCCAAATCAGAGGTTTTATAGCTCCTCAGAAGTGGGGATAGAGAAGTTTTAGTCTGAAGGTGCAATTCACTTTGAAAATGCAATCTGGCTAAAACATGCTGGTGAAACTCTTAAGCACTTACAAAGTAACCAGAACAACATGCCAGACGATTTTCCTGGCTTCTCTCATTTAATGTTTACAACCACCTTAATCTTATTCCCATTTTACAAACATGAAAACCAATTTGGAAAAAATAAAGAAACTGGAAGCGCTGGGCAGTGACAGCCCCAGACTCTGGCTGAGGTGGGTCGTCAGAAGCCTTCCTACCTACTCAAAATCACCAATGCGGCTTTGCTGGCAATGTCCTAAGCTCTTCTACCTACACTGCCACGTTGTACTCCTGTGAGCCAGTGAACAGGTGCGAGTGTGACCAGCATCTCAGAAATGGGGTGCTGATACTCACATACTCAGATACTCAGGCCGGCAGCCTGAGGCAGTAGAGGTAGTTAGTACAGGCTTCAAACCTACCCGCCAAAGGGCTTCTCAAAGGCCCGTCGTTTCTCATTCTCTGCTTTTCTTTTAGTTTTGGGGTTAATAACGACTAATGATGAATATGAAGAGGAATTGTATGAAAGAACAAGATAAGTCATGTCACCCTGAAAATGAAGACCAGGGCTAAGAGAGCCAAGGGGAGGAAGGGAAACCTGGCATACACAGACAGGAAACTGTGCAGCGCCAG